TTTCGAACTCCTGACCTTGAGCAATCTGCCCACCTCGGCCTCCCAGAGTGCTCAGATTACAGGCGTTGAAATTAGAGTAATTAAAATAGCATCACTGGCCCATGACTCCTAAGGGGACAGACAGCATGTCAGTCTCTGCTCCAGGCCTTGGCAAATAGGGGAGGCTCCAGAAATATTTGATCTTCTGACTGCTTGAGACTCTTTGGGGTGCCTCATTGCTTCCCCAGGCTCCCCTGAAGCTTCTGTCCACCACACGCCCCAGCCCGGGTCTGTGGGAAGGGGTTCTGCAGCGTGGGGGGCCCTGGAGCGTGGGGTGCCTGGCTGCTCCCCACGCTGCCGTCTTTAGCGTTGGCCCTCACACACCCCGGCTCCCGTCTCAACAGCCCCTGGATTGGCTGTGTCTGGCAGTGCCCGTCCCTCCAGGCAGGGAACCAGAGCCCAGGACCAGGAGGGAGCCAGCCCTGTGTCCTGTCTCCCTGGGCCTCCAGGTATCCAAGGTGACAGTCGCCTCTTTAGCCAGAGGCTAAAGCTGGAGCTTCCAGGACAGAGGCTGGTTGCACCCACCGGGTCAGGAGGCCACCTGGGACAAGGTGGAGGGCCTCGCCTTCTCACCAGGCCTGCGCACGATCGTGGACAAGCTGGATGCTGGGAAGGGCAGAGGACCCCCAGGCCACCTGCTTTGTCCCTGTCATGGGCATTCCCCCATTGGACCTTCCTCTAGTGACAGTCTAGAGCTGGCATCCTCTGGGCAAGCCCCCGTTGCCAGGACCCCAGGGCAGCAGGTGGGCCTTAAGCAGGGGTTGGAAGTCAGGTGCAGTGAGCACAGCGAGTTGCCCCCATGTCCACCAGGGGGCGCCCTCAGACGGCTGGACTGCCGGTCCCAGGACCAGGGAGTTGAAGGTCAAGGATACCCTCTCGGGCCACACCCCCAGCTGTCCCTCCTTCCTGACCACCCCATCCAACCCTCCCCTGGCCCCAGGATGCCCGTGGCCATGTGGTGACATGTGCAAAGCCTGCTGGGTCAGCTCAGGGGGCTTCCCTCTTGCCCGGGGCAGGTGTTGGAGCCCAAAGCCCCCCCAGGGCTCCAGCCTGGTCTTCTAGGTGGGACTGGGTGGGTAGGGGGGTGGGGGGTCGCCTGCACTGGGGAACGTGCATCGAGGGGCCTCGGTTCACGAGTGGCCGCCTGGCGGAGAGAAAGAAGACAGAGGCGCGGTGGCAGGTTTCTGTACAGGAAGTCGGATTATACATTTTAGTAACGGGCCAGAGAAATGAGGCGGGGGGCAGAACAGTGCGGGGGCCACAGGGAGAATAAGAGATCCGAGAGCTGGGGTTTGGCGTAAATCTTACAAAGTGTATAAAGTATCTGTGTTTCTCTACAATAACAAAAACCAAAGGCTACAAGAGCGGTTGTATATACAAAACACGGAGATATTGCTTCACTTGCAAACAGGTTCCAGACCAGACGGGGAGACGAGACGGAGGGGGTGACCGGGAGGGCCGAGGGGCGCGCTGCGTGCAAGAGGAGGGCGAGACGGGGACAGGCTTCTCCCAGCAAATCTGCAGGCGGAGCTGGGGTCGCGCACGCGCAGAGGTGGGCGGCCAGAGCGCGGGCTGTGCGCAGAGCAGCGGGCGGTGCCCGGAGCCAAGAGGGTCCGCCTGTCCGGGCCCTGCTGCCTGGTGGCTCTTCGGGCTTCAGCCCCGAGTGGGGTTCTGGGTGGGGGTGACCGGCCAGTGGGGCCAGCTGGCCAGACAGGGAGGAAGGCAATCGTTCCTTGGAGTCTGCCGAGGAAAACAGGAGAAGCCGGCTCCATCTGCCCGTCCTCCTTGTCTCCGGCCGGGCTTGTCCATCCTGCCGCCCTCCCCAGCCCGCAGAGACGCCGCGGGGACCGGGTGGAGCGGGCACAGCGGGCCGAGCCGGGGCTTCTAGCTTTCCCGGGCGGGCCGGGAGGTGCCGCTGACGCCTGCTCCTCCTGGGCCCCAGCCCGGCCGTGCGGAGCTCGCTGGGAGGGCGGGAGCGAGCCGGTCTCAGGGACGGTGGGGACGGGGCGGGAGGACACCGTGGTGGGGCAGGCGGAGACGAGCACGCACGCTGGGGCGCAGGCGCGGGCGGTCACAGGTTCTGGCAGCACTGCAGCTTGTTGGGCTTCTGTCCGTCCGTGGTGGGCGGCACGCTGATGTCCACCACGTTGTTGCCGGGGGACTCGTCGTGGGCCGCGCGGTCGGCGATCTGCTTCTGGGACACGATGCGGTAGATCTCTGCACGGGGCGGGAGATGCCAGGTGAGCCAGCCGCATGCCCGGCCCGCCCCGCCCGCGGTGACCACCTCCCTGAGGTCCCCGCTGTGCCCCAATACACATCGGAGACGAGGACAGGGGCAGGGCTCCAGAGGCGGCCACCACTTGCTCAGTAAGAGCAGGACCCACATCCGGGCACCTCCAGCCCTGGCCCCTTGTTCCCTGAGAGCACAGGCCCCTCCTCCCTCAGAAGCAAACTCCTGGAAGCCTGGCCAAGGGACTCTGGGCCCAAGGGACTCTGGGCCGCTGTGGCACCTGCGCCCCTGCTGGCCCTGCTGGCTGTTTGGTCACCCAGCTGAGGCTGGGCGCCCCTGCTGGCCCTGCTGGCTGTTTGGTCACCCAGCCGAGGCTGGGCCCGCCCACCGGAGCTGGGGGAGGGGGTCTCTGTGACCCCTGCGCCAGCAAGGCCTGGGTCTGGCCCGACCCAGGGAGCATGCCACGTCCCGCCTGGGCAGCTTTAACAAGCGCAGGCTCCGGGGCTGCACCCCCACCCCCTGCGAGACGGGCGCCCTCCCAGGCCCACCCAGGCCCCGTAGCCACCTGTGAGGATGTTCTTGAACGCCTCCTCCACGTTGGTGGAATCCAAGGCTGAGGTCTCAATGAAGGACAGGTTGTTCTTTTCTGGAACAGAGAAAACCGCCCAGGTGAGCGGGGAGGTGTCTGGCTCCCGCCCTCTCTCGGGGACCCCACCTGCCCGCTGGACTGGCCTGAGGCACCGATGGGCAGTCTTCAGGGAGGGGAGGCTGGCCCTGCAGCCAGGGGCCCTGGCACCGTGGGAGGGGCCTCCTGCTTTCCGGATACTTCCCTGATGCTTCAGTTTCCATCCTGCCCTCGGAGGCAGCGGGACTCACCTGCGAAGGCGCGGGCCTCGTCCGTGGGCACGGCCCGCAGGTGGCGCAGGTCGCTCTTGTTGCCCACCAGCATGATGACAATGTTGCTGTCCGCGTGGTCCCGCAGCTCCTTCAGCCAGCGCTCCACGTTCTCGTAGGTCAGGTGCTTGGCGATGTCGTACACCAGCAGGGCACCCACCGCGCCGCGGTAGTACCTGCGGGGCAGGTCCCGTGAGCCGCTCTGGGCCTGGACGCCCTCTGGGGCCGTGGGCAGCAGTGGCCTCACGGGAATTCGGCACACTCGTCCTACACAGAGCCCAGCCACGGGGCGGCCATCGTGGCCTTAGGGGAGGGACACCTGTCCAGAGGCCCCAGCTCTGCTCCCTGCATCCTGCTCGGGAGTGTGGGGGCCTGAGAGGGGGCTGGGGGCCTGGGGGCAGAAGACACCATGAGGTCACCAATAAAGGGGGGAGAAGGAAACCACAGCCGTGCAGAGAGAAGGCCACTGCTGCGCAGAGCACCGATGCTTCTCCCCTGCCCCATGCAGGGCCAGGCAAGGACCGCCAAGGAGACAGGGAGGGGGTGCAGGGACAGCAACGTGGCGGAGTGAGGTGGTGGGAAATGGCCAGGGGTTGGGAGGGCTCCCGGAAGCAGCAGCCCAAGTGGGGCCTGATGGCTGGGAGGCCGCGGAGAGGCACAGGGCCCGGGCCCGGGTGGGAGGACAGGATCAGTGTGGACAAGGCGCGAGTCGCAGCTCAGAGGGGAGCAGGGGGAGGAGGGGGCTGGGGTGGGATGGGGACGGGAAGTAGTGACCCCAGCCAGACCTTCGCTGCCCACCGGGCACCCAGTAATCCCCCGGTGTCCCGGTGTGGCCAGGGAGGACACTGCTCTGCCTGAGGGTCCCTCAGCTCCTGGGCGCCTCTGAAGGTGGGGGCTGGGCGTTCCTCCGCCCTCCACTCCCATGCTCTTGCCTCGTCCCGCCCAACTCCTACACATCCTTCCAAGCCCCGCGCCCACGCCCCCCACTCGGCAGCCCCAGCCGCCAGACACGCACGCGGAGGTGATGGCGCGGTAGCGCTCCTGGCCGGCTGTGTCCCAGATCTGCGCCTTGATGGTCTTGCCGTCCACCTGGATGCTGCGGGTGGCGAACTCCACGCCGATGGTGCTCTTGCTCTCCAGGTTGAACTCGTTGCGGGTGAAGCGAGACAGGAGGTTGCTCTTGCCCACGCCCGAGTCCCCGATGAGCACCACTTGGGGGGTACAGAGGGGAGGGGAGGGTCTGTGAGTCCCCACGCGCCGCCCACGCGCACCCACAGAAGCTTCCGGGGGCTCCCTGGGCGACCGACACAGAGGAGCCCGCGGGCACTGTGCTAACTGGCACAGAAGCGAAACAGCCACTGTGGAAGGCACAACACCCCTGCCTGTCTCTGGTCCTCAGAGCAGGGCTGTCCCTGCGTGGGCAAGGGACCTGGGCATCCTGGCCAGCGGTGGCTTGAGCCTCCACCTGCAGCCTGGTGGCTGGGCAGCTGGGTGCAGCCCAAGAAAATTCCAGAGCTGGGCGACCCTGGGCAAGTCACTTAACCTCTCTGGGCAGCCTTTTCCAAACATGTGAACAGGAAGGCAGTAACAGCTGCCGTCTCGGGAGGAGGATGTTAAGGGCACGCGTGGTCGTGACCCAGCCAGCGCACGGCACACGGACAGGCACACGAGCGAGCGGCTGTCATTATCACAGATGAGGTTTTGGCCGGAGCGTGGGAAAGGTCAGTGGTCCTCCCGGTTCTCACCTAGGAGGGTCTGTTTCTGGAGCTTTCAGTGACAGGAAATGAGGAGCCACCGTGCCCATGCCCTCAACCCTCCAGCCAAACCCACATTCAGCCTGTTCCTTGACCTACAAGAATGTGCCCCCTGGGGCGTGGAAGGGACAGAGCCAGCCGCCCCTGCCCCCAGGGTCGGGGTGCCCTGCTGACTGGGTGCAAGGGGAGGTCACACAGCTGTGCGCGTGTGCATCCTCACAGGGGTCATGCACCGTGTGTGCTGCTGTCCCCGGCCCCTGCCTGAGAGCCGGCCTCGATGGCAGTGGAGGGCCGGTCTCCACCCAGCCCAGCCTAGCCCCAAGAAACACCCCCCCCCAGAAGGGCAGTCAGGGCGGGGGCTGGGAGGGAGACAAGGGACTGTGGGGGGCAGCCGTGCTGAGGACCATCGGGAACAGGAGCCCCCTGAGCAGAGGGGGCACGGGCTGGGCAGGCTGGGGGACGTCCCTCCCTCCCACCCCTGTAAAGCATTTCCTGCCCCGCCTCGGAAGCACAGCCTCTAGGGTCCTGGCAGCCCAGGCTTGGGGTGGGGCCACGTGACATCATCCAGGAGGGGCCTGGACCCAGAGCATCCCATGCAGGGGACATCAGTGCGTGCACATGCGTGTGTGCGTGCATCCAAGTGCATGTGGTGTGAATGAAGCGGGTAGCGGCCACCAGATGCCCCAGCCAGACGGGCCATGGACCCCCAGCCGGTCTGCCTGGTGGCTCAGTCACCTATGGCCCCGAGGAAGGGGTGTCCACTGAGCCTGGGCAGCGATGGGCAGGGCTGGCCCTTCCGGGACTGGGGAGGTGCAGGCTAGCAGCTGAGCCCTGGCTGACACGGAGGACCCTGGCCTCCCCTGGGGGTCCCGCCCCACGCAGGGAGCAGAGCAGGGCCCACCAGGCCGCCCTCCCCTCGGCCACACTGCGCTGCTGTGCTGACGGGCTTGGGGTTCTCCCTTTAGAAAAGAGTCCCATCCCAGAGCTGATCCCAGAGAAAGGGGGCGGAGGGGTGCTCCGGGAGCTGGCGATGTTTCCTGATCCTCTCGTGGCTTACACAGGTGAGCTCAGGTGGTGAAAACTCACGGAACGACACGCTTACGTGTGGTCTTCTTTCCTGTCCCAATGCAACTCCTTGGAGGAAAGTTGTCTGTGTGCTTAGACTTCTGATCACCTTCACTGCCCCCACCTTGGGCCAGGCCACCACCATCTCTGTCTGGGTTACAAGCCAGCCTCCTCCCTGAGGTCCCCGCGTTCACCCTCATCCTCAACCAAAATGCTGTCCTCCCCATGGCAGCCAGAGGGCGCCTGTGAGCACCTAAGTCAGGTCTGGCCCCTTCTCTGCCCAGAGCCCTCCATGGCTCCCACTCCCCTTGGGAAAAAGCCCAAGTCCTCCCCACGGCCCACAAGGCCCTGTGCCACCTGCCCCCACCTGCCCTGTCTCTTTCTCTTCCTCCCTGCTTCCCTCTCTCCCCCAGTTCCCTCTGCTCCAGCCACATGCGCCTCCTCGCTGTGCCTCCCGCCTCAGGGCCTTTGCACGGGCTGTGCCCTCTGCCTGGAATCCCCTTCCCGAGGCACCCGCCTGGCTCCTCCCTCATCTCCTTTGTAGGATCCCTCAGAGGCCACTTGGCCAAGGATGCCCTTGCTGTCCCCCAACCTTCCTTGTTCCCCGGCCTGGCTTTCCCTCCACCAACTCTCGCCACCCCGCACTTGCCAGGTTTCACTCATGTGTTTTCTCGCCAGTGTGCCCCAAGGGCAGGAGTCAGGCCCTGGCACCGCGCCGGCACCCAGTAAGCACCCGATGAATGTCTGTCAATCGAACAAACAAACGCCAAAGCGCTGGCAGAGCCTCCCGGGCGTGCCCCCGAGACATATCCACCCCTGGAGGGTGCCCAGGTCACCAGTCCTGGGCCACAGGGGAGGGCAGATCAGGCGGCCCCCACAACCCGGCCCAGCACCCCCTCCGGCTGGCGGCTTTAGAGCCAAGTACACCGAGAACAAGGACACAAAGAACATTTAATGAGTCTGTGCTGAGGAAGTTCTTGGTGCCTCACTTCGTGGAAGCCTCGCGCTGCCCATTTTACAGATGAGCAAACTGAGGCTCAGATGGGGAATGACCAGCCCAAGGCACACAGGGCGGGAGGGCAGAGAAGGAGTCTGAGCCCCTGTATATCTGCCGGCCAGCCCCCACCTCCCAACCGTGCCCACCAAGCAAGCAGAGCCTTGTCCAGGGCCATGTGCTTGGCAAGTCATCCAGGCAGGATTTGAACCCAGGTCTTCTGGGTCCAGGGCCTAAGCTCTTTCTCTCTCAACTCACCGCCTCACCTGCTGTCCTCGTCCACCCCTCAGCACGTGGCTCAGGGGTCTTAGTTCTACCGCATAGGGGCCACTGAGGCCCCGGGCACCCAGCCTGGCAGCCTCCCCAGCTCCAAGCACCCTGTCCCCCTGGGGCACCCAGCAAACTCCTACTTATCCTTTGAGACCCCCTTGGCTATGCCCCCCCTCTCCCCAAATAACCACCGCCTGGCAGGCCCACGAGACCTGTGGCAGCAGGGTGGGCATTCTCCCACGACACCGCGGGTGCCCACCAGACCGGCGAGTTGACTTCAGAGAAAGATGAAAAGAGATGGAGTGAGCATGGCCTGTGCCCATGGCCAGGCTGGACTGACAGCGGGGACACCGCCCGCACCACCAGCCCCTCACCTCCTTCCCTCGGCAGCCACAGGAGCCTGGCCACAGCTGGGGATGTTTGCTGAGTCCTCAGGTACGACGCAGGACACTGGGCCTGCCTTGCCTGGATCCCCCCCCACCTTCCCCCCCTAGCTGTGCCCCAGTTGTACAGCCCTGGGGACCCCGTGGGCCCATCAGCTGTGCTCCGGGCTGGTAGCCAACAATCTCCTTAGGACCTGGGCCAGGCCTGGTCCTAAGTGCTTTGCGGGCCTCAGTTTACCACGTTCTCAGGGACGCCCTTGGGACACATGTAAATGTTATTATTCCTATGGAACAGTTGGGGACACTCTACCCAGCGTGCCAAGTCCCCGGCCCACTGGGTGCAATGAGAACGGTGGAGGCCACCGCCCGGGTGGACCGCAGGAAGGCCGTGCTGCCCGGCCGTCCCTGGCACAGAGCGTCCGGTGCAGACAGGTGGCCCCGCGGGGAGGCTGGGCATGAGCACGGCATTGTCGAGGGCACAGAAAACAGTCTGTTGTCTTGAGGAAATAAAGGGCCCTTCAGGACACAGCTCCCAGCATTTCCACAGAAGTTGGTGGCTTCGCTGGCCAGGAAACGGCCCCCTAGACACGCCACTTGGCTCGGAGAGCAGGCAAGCCCAGTTGGCAAAGACAAAAGGCTGGCACCTCTCAGAGCTCCGGGCGCTCTGGCCTGCCCCGTGACAGTGTGGTGTCCCTGGGGCCCGACCCTAGCGCTCAGGCGGACTGAGTGGCCATCCAGGGCACTGTGTCCCCAATTCAGGCCGCACCAGGGCCCCCATTCGAAATGGGGAAGATGGCACCTTTGGGTCCCCAAACAGCAACTGAACAATAGGCCTAGCAAGGCCTGCCCAGGAAGGAGGGCCGGGAGCTGCCTGGGGAGCGGGCCTGTTCCCTGGGGACCAGCAGCCACTCCCTCCTTGGTCAGGGGTGGACACACCCAGAGGACGGGGCCTGGGGCCACCACAGCCAGTTTCCCACAGAAGCCGGGGGCCGGGGGCTCTAGGGGAAGGGGGAAGGGCCCTGGGAAGGCCTCAGTGGCCCTTGGGGACACAGCTGCTCCCACGGAGGCCCTCATGGCCCAGTGTGCATCTGATGCAAAGTCAGGGGCATCCCCGGGGATCGAAGGGCAGGCTGGGAAAATGGCCATGGCTGAAAGAGTAGAATGTTAGATAAATGCAAGGATCTAAAATTAGGCACAAATAAACAATCGCACTCCCGGGGGAGGTGGAGACTGATCAGGGAGAAAAACAAACATCGCTCGGGGGACTGCCCAGGGGAGCCTCTGGCCTTGGCTGTGAGGTCAAGGGAGCCAACGGGAGTGGCCACCAAAGAAAACAAGGCAGCAGAAAGAGGGCGGCACAGAGGGGCAGCCAGCGTCCCAAGCAAAAGCTGTGTGGCCCCTCCATGCCTAGGGAAGGCGACTAAAGCCCGGAGCAGGGAGCGGGGTGGAGGAGCAGGGCGGGCCAGCTTGCCACAGGGTGGGCGGGAGGAACTCTGTCCTCTTGGCTCCTGCGGGGCTCCCCACAGGTGGCTGGGCCCGAGAGCCACATGGTGACAAAGTTGGCCCCCGTCAACACTTCTGGTACGGTGGTGACCTGGATGTCTCTCCAAGGCCAGCCCATCGCCCTTGTTGGGAAGGGTGGACAGGCCTGGGCCCTGGGGTCAGCACGCCTGTTTCCGAAATCAGGTTTCCATATTTGCATTTCCATTAACCCACCACATTATGGCAAGCAGTGCAATGCTAGGGGCCTGCCTGCCACCTCCCTCCCTTCCTTCCTTCCTTTGTAATTTGCAAGAGCCACAGGCAGCATCCTTTTCCTATTTAACAGAACGAAAATCGAAAATCGGAGCGGATTTTAAGACACACATTGAGAGAACAGAGGGGTCCTCCTACTAGGTCTACATTGTGAAGGTCACACATCAGCCGACCAGCTGGGGGAACGCTGACCTTGTGGATGAGACTTTTGCTACCAACCAGCTCGAGAAGGTCAGCAGGGCACCTGTTCGACCCAGAGAAAGGCGGCCAGGCAGGGAGGGCAGTGGGGCAGCCGGGGGCCCTCCCTCCCCAGAACCATGCCAGCTGCCCCAGAAGCCAGATCCGTGTTTCCAGGAAGTGGACCCTAGAGACGAGTCCCGGGAACCGCACGGCCTCGCTACTGCCCCTGACCCAGTAACTGTCCTTCTGGGAACACACTTCAAGGAAATAACCCAAAGGCCAAAAAGATGACTCGGGCAAACGCTCGGGGCTGGGGTATTTATAACGAGTGAAAGTAACAAGCAGGGAATGACCACAGAAACCTAGATGTGGCCCTTGGGAGAAATGCACCCTGCCCTGGCAGTGCCACCCCTGGGTAGGTGCCCAGCCCACAACCTGGGAGCAGCTGCCCCAGGGAGGAGTGACTGGACTGGCTGCAACAGGACCAGAGTCTGCTCCCCTCGTCACCAGAGGGGACTGTTCCGATCTCCAGTCCCCAAAACCTTTCCAAAGCTTCCCTTGGCCACTAGAGTGAGACCTTGGGCCTGACACCTGCCAACCACACAGCTGCACCCCTGTCGACATCACAAACTTTCCTGCAGCTACCAGAGTCCACAGTACAGTGGGACGACTCTAAGCCTTTGCAGAGACACTCCCTCTCTCTCTGCCTGGAAGCCTTTCGCCGCACGGACAGCCCAGGTAGGCAGACCTCCGCCCCACTCTCGACGACCCCAAGATGGTGGATGATACCACAGACTCAAGGGTCATCCGAGGCCAGCTCTAGACACGGCACACTCCCAGGGATGGCCAGCCCACTCAGTGAGGTGAAGGTGTCAACAGCTGGCATAGGAAGCAGACGCTCCCAGAGCAGGCAGCAGGGCGAAGGGACCCAGCGAGGGCTCAGGGGTTAGCTTCCAAGGGTTGCTATTGCCAGGCAGGGAGCCCAGCATGGCCAGCACACGGCCTGGCCAAAGCCCAGCTTGGCATGGAAGGTGCTGTGAAGCCAGTGACCCCTAAACCAGCCCAGCTGAGGAACAACGGACTCCAGCAACATGCAGGGAGGCTCCCCAGCTTGAGGGGCAGGGTGAAGGAGCTTCCCAGCTGGCCCCAAGTCAGCAATGGACGCCTGATCTGCCTCGGTCTTACTTAATGTTCCTAGAACCCTCAGTCCCTTGGGTGGGGAAGATCCTCCAACAGGATGCCCGGGCCATACGCACGGATGTGTTGTGGGGAGGTGATCTGACAACCCCAAGTCCCAGATCCTGGCTGCAAGGTCCCCCACCAAGACCCACGCCCTACGTGGTAAGGTCCACAGCTGGCCTGGGCTGAATCCTGCTCCAACACCTATCAGCTATGTCCTTGCTTCTCTGGGCCTCAACATCCCAGTCTGTAAAAAGAGAGGCTGGACCATATCGACCTCCCAGGGATGCGCGGAGGATTTAAATGAGTTCCCGCAGGTAAAGTGCTCAGAAAAGTGCAGGTACTGGGTGAGTGCTATTAAGAGTTCCAAGGGTTAAGAGACAGAATTATGGCCCCCAACACAGGAGGCCCTCCGTGCAATTCTGGGTCCGCACCCCAATCCAAGGCTTCCCCCCAAAATACACCTCGCTCCCCCACCTTCACCCAAGCACCACTGTCCGCCACGCCTTCCCCTCCAAGGCTCCGCCTCCAGATGCGCTGCCCCCAATCCGGCCAGGCTTCATGGAACCCCGCCCCCACCCGCCAGGCCCAACCCACCTACTGGACACGCCCACCAGTCCTGGCCCCGCCTCTAACGGCCCCGCACCCACGCCGAATAGCTTTCGACCCACCCCAACGCGCCAAATCCAGGGAAGCCCCGCCCCCTCGAGAGGCCCCGCCCCAACGGCCTCTCCCACCACTCCGGGCCCCACCCCCTTTGGTCCCCGGCCCCGCCCCAGCGCATCCTGGGCCCCCAAGCCTCTCTGGGCCACCATCTCTACATGGCCGCAAGCCCCGGCCCGAAGCTGAAGAGGCTCGGCCTGGCCCGGCCTTCCCGGCTGCCTGACTCGCCAGTACCAAGCCCCGGGCTCCGGCTTAGGCCCAGCGGCCTGGAGCGCAGCCTTGGCCCGCCAGCCCGCCGCCTCGCCGCCGCGCCCTCGCCCGTCTATGCCCCACTCGCCGCACCTTTGAATAGGTAGTCATACTCGTCGTCCCGGGTCCCCATTGTCCTGGCGCTTCCGGCGGGATCGGCGACTCCGCAGCCCCACCACAAATACCCGACGGGGGCGGAGCCGGCGCCGCGCAGAGCGGCGGCCGGCTGGCCAATCAGAGAGGGGTGGAGTAGCGACTGGCATCAAACTCAGCCAGTCAGAGGTGGAAGCAGAGCCCCGGGGGCGGGCGCTGCCTGGGATCCACCCTCCTCGCCCTCGGTGTCCTGCAGAAAGGCGGAAGGAATGCGGTCCTTTCTGAAGTGACGGCCACGCCAGCCTATCAGAGGCGAGCTCAGGAAGGCGGGGCGGAAGACTGGAACAATGAAACAGATTGACGAATTAAGTACCCAATGAGAGGCTTGATTCAGACCAGCCCCAACTATCAGAGGACCTGTCCGGGAAGGGAAATGAGGCTACGTCCAGGTGATGCTACGCTTCTAAACGTCCCGATGACGTCATAGGTCAGTGTTCGCATTTCTGGCCTCTCCCGGTGGCCCGTAAATGACCGTTTCCGGGAGCCTCCGTGCAGGGGTTTTTCTCTAGGTTGCAGTTTCCATCCTTACATTGGTGACAAGTTACATTGGCCCTTTGTGCCTTTGTTTTCTCGTCTCTAAACAGGGAGGGAACCCACCTCAAGGAATATTTTGAGACTTGAACACATACCAAATCAACCTGCCACTTTCTGCCATTAAGTCTTTTTTTTTTTTTTTTTTGAGACAGAGTCTCACTTCGTTCTGAGCTAGAGTGCCCTGGCGTCAGCCTAGTTCTTCCTTACTTTGTGCTGAAAGCTTTAAAATTGACACTGTTTCTGGTAATATTAATTCAACCAATATTTATTGAGCAACTTCTTCTTTTTTTTTTTTTTTAAGACAGAGTCCCCCTTTGTTGCCCGGGCTAGAGTGAGTGCCATGGTGTCAGCCTAGCTCACAGCAACCTCAAACTCCTGGCTCAAGCGATCCTCCTGCCTCAGCCTCCCGAGTAGCTGGGACTACAGGCAGGCGCCACCATGCCGGCTAATTTTTCTATATATATCAGTTGCCAATTAATTTCTTTCTATTTTATAGTAGTGACGGGGTCTCGCTCTTGCTCAGGCTGGTTTCGAACTCCTGACCTCGAGCAATCCGCCCGCCTTGGCCTCCCAGAGTGTTAGGATTATAGGCGTGAGCCACCGTGCCCGGCCTTGAGCAACAAGTTCTGTATCAGGTGCTTGGGGAGATTTTTTCTAGTGGGCACAGAGATTCCCGCCCTCTCTGAACTACCCTTCAAAGTCTCTCCCATTACAGATGGTGACCTGTAATTATTGATCCAAACTGGGACACTTTTTTTTTTTTAGAGACAGGGTCTTGCTCTGTGGCCCAGGCTGGAGCGCAGTGGCACAATCACAGCTCACTGCAGCCTCAAACTCCTGGGCTCAAGGGATCCTCCTGCCTTAGCCTCCAGAGTAGCTGAGACCACAGGTTTGACACCACACTCAGCCTCAACTGGGACACTTATGAGAGTGAAATGGGGTGCTGTTAATGAAGCTGGGTGACAGATCTAAAGCAGTTACTCCCAGACATATGGGGGACTTACCAACCCAGTTTTTAAAAATGTAGACATCTGGAAAACCAATACTCTTGGGCATGAATAGGGTAGTGAAGCTAAAGTCAACGAAAATAAAACAATGCTCGTGCTTTAATTTCTTTCTTTGTTTTTTAATATATATACATTTTTTGAGACAGAGTCTCACTTTGTTGCTCAGGCTACAGTGCCGTGGTGTCAGCCTAGCTCACAGCAACCTCCAACTCCTGGGCTCGAGTGATCCTCCTGCCTCAGCCTCCCAAGTAGCTGGGACTACAGGCATGCGCCACCATGCCCAGCTAATTTTTTCTCTGTATATATTTTTAGTTGTCCAGCCAATTTCTTTCTATTTTTAGTAATGATGATGGGGTTTCGCTCTTGCTCAGGCTGGTTTCAAACTCCTGACCTAGAGCGATCTACCCGCCTCGGCCTCCCAGAGTGCTAGGATTACAGGCGTTAGTCACTGTGCCCAGTCTGCTCATGCTTTAAAAATCTAGCTGGCGTTACACTTAAAAAATGGGATGAGGTAAAAATAACAATAAATAAATAAAAAGAAAACAAAAAATATTAAAAGAAAAAAAATCTAGCTGGCAGGGCCAGGCTCTGTGGCTCATGACTGTAATCCTAGTTCTTTGGGAGGCTGAGGCGGGACAATTGCTTGAGGTCAGGAGTTCAAGACCAGCTCTGAGCAAGAGTGAGACCCTGTCTATACTAAAAATAGAAAAATTAGCTGGGCATCCTGGCTCACACCTGCAGTTGCAGCTACCCGGGAGGCTGAGGCAGGAGGATCACTTGATCCCAGGAGTTTGAGGCTGCAGCGAGCTATGATGACACCACTGCACTGTACTCTGGGCACTGGAGTGAGACCCTGTCTCAAAAAAAAAAATCTAGTTGGCAAACTGATCTATGGTGAAAAAAATCTAAAACATGGCTGTCCCTGAAAGGGTAGGGAAGCTTGTCTTTGAACAGATGCCTGATGGACTGAGAAGGAGAATGAGGGAACTTTCTGGAGTGATCCTGACATTCTGAACCTTGACACAAGTGGGTCATTTGGGTGTCTGCCTTGTGCCTTTCATTGTATACAAATTTTACCTTAAAAAATAAGAAACTTTGGAAAGAGCTTTACCCAGTATTGATCTCTAATGAATGACGTGTACGCTGAAGTGTCCGGAGGTGAAGTGGACTGCTGTCTGCAATTGTCTTGGAAATGTCCCAGAAAATAATATAATGGAGGCTGGGCGCGGTGGCTCATGCCTGTAATCCTAGCTCTCTGGGAGGCTGAGGCAGGCGGATAGCTCGAGGTCAGGAGTTCGAAACCAGCCTGAGCAAGAGCGAGACCCGTCTCTACTATCAATAGAAAGAATTAATTGGCCAACTAATTACATAGAAAAATTAGCCGGGCATGGTGGCGCACTGTAGTCCAGCTACTTAGGAGGCTGAGGCAGGAGGATCGCTTGAGCCCAGGAGTTTGAGGGTGCTGTGAGCTAGGCTGACGCCACGGCACTCACTCTAGCCTGGGCAACAAAGGGAGACTCTGTCTCAAAAAAAAAAAATAATAATAATATGATGGATAGGTGGATAGAGGAATGGGTATGTGATAAAAGCAAAATGTTCATGGTGGAATCTAGGTGGTGGGGCTATGGGTGTTCTCTGTATATTTCTTTTTATTTTGCTGAATGTTTCAAATTTTTTCACAATAAAATGGGTGGGAAAAAGTTTCAGCCACACACAGTTGCTTTCTTTCTTTCTTTTAATTTTTTTTTTTTTTTTTTTTGAGAGAGAGTCTCACTCTGTTGCCCAGGGTAGGGTGCCATGGTGTCAGCCTAGCTCACAGCAACTTCAAACTCCTGGACTCAAGCAATCCTTCTCCCTCAGCCTCTCCCGAGTAGCTGGGACTGCAGGCATGCGCCACCAGGCCCGGCTAATATTTTCTATATATTTTTAGTTGTCCAGCTAATTTCTTTCTATTTTTTTAGTAGAGATGGG